GACGCTCTCGCGTTCGTCTTCTGTTTGTGGCGGCTTTCCTTGGAAGAGCTGGACGGCTTTCCTGCAAGCGGGAGACACCCGAGGGGAGCAGCCCCTCCCGAAATGCTGCAGGATGGGACCAGGGAAGGGGGAGCTCAGGGGCTCCCCCAGAGCGACAGCCCCGTCTGCACAGCCAGAGCTGAGCTGTCTGCAGCTTCCCCAGTGAAAAACCAGCTCAAGTCTGTCTGTGTTTAAAAAAATGTGAGTTTTGCCTCCAAGACCAGGTTTTTACATCTGAGACCAGGTTTTTACCCTGAATCTCCAGGTTCTGGGACTCAGATTTGCCCCTCTCCCCTGGGCAAAGAGCCCAGCTGGAAGGAAAGACAGCATCTCCCATGGGATTCAGCCCACCCCCCTGCCCTGCTCACACAGGACCATCTCTTACCAGGCCACACGGGACATGGCGTAGGTGATCTGTGGCTGGGGACACCCCCCAAGCGAGGGCGAGGTTGCGATGGTGTAGGCACCCATGTCCTTGAAAATCAGCCAGTCCCCGACTTGCAGCTCAGGCAGCTCCAGGCCGTCGGCAATGCGGTCCTCTGCGTGTCCTGGGGGGCCCCAGAGGCTGCTGCTGTGCGAGGGGTGGTCTGGGCAGGGTTTCTGCAGGAAAAAGATGGAGCAGCCGCAGGGGATGAGGATGCACCAGTGCCCGGTGACCTGCCTTGCCTCCGCCCGCCCTGAAGATCCGACCCTGGGAGCCCACGGACTCTGGCTACAGCCCTCTTGCTGCGCCACCATGGCCTCTGCTCTCCTCTGGCACGGAGCCCAGGGCCAGCCACAACGCAAGGGAGAGCAGGGTCGGCTGCGGGGACGGGACGCGGTGCAAGGGACACACTGGGCTCTCCTCAAACCGGGCCAGACCCTCACCTTGTGCAGCTGGGGTCTGGGGCAGGGGCTGTCAAACAGGAGGCAGCTGAAGGTGCCATAGATGCCATCGCTGAGGTGGTACACAAGGCTCTTCTTGCCGCCAGACTCTTCCTCTGGGGGGGAGCAAGGAGAGGGCTCAGGGGGGCTCAGGGACAGGGGTGGGTCCATCCCACCGTCCCACCGTCCCACCTACCATCAGAGCCAGGCTGCTCTGTGGGACCCTCCTCCATGGCAGTGATGCTGGCAGCAAAGGTGAAGGCAGAGTTGACGTAGTATCGCCCAGGTCTTGCAATGATCTCCACCCCGCAGCCGTCTGGGAAGTACAAGTCCAAGGTAGAGTTTATCACGGCAGCGATCTGGATGGGAAGAAGATGTTCTCTCTCAGTTAGAGCGGTCCCTCTGCAGGGAGCCAGACCCAAGGGACACCCTCCAGCCTCGCCCTCTGCCTGCTGAGGGCAGGCATTGGGAGCCGTGTACCTCTTCAAACTGGGCTCTGGTGTCCTCAGTGCTGGGGATTCCCCCTCCGATGTCCAGGAGGTGCATCCGGTAGCCCAGCTCTGTGCCCATCTCAAAGGCCATCTGTGCCGCAGCCACAGACTGAGCAAAGGCCTGGGGCTCCAGACCGCAGCTCCCAAGGTGAAAGCTGAGGGCACAGTCCCTGTTTCAGCAGGGTTTGCCCATCCCCAGAGAGCAGCAAGGGGACATGGCGCAGGGATTGTCACTCACTGGGGGCAGCTCTGCACCTCCCACACACCAGCCTGAGCGAGACTGCCTGGCTGACCCCGCAGAGCCCCCCAGACCCTCTCTGAGAGCCACATCTGCCCCAAAATGGTCCCAACAAGGGTCAACCTCCCCAAGTCCCAACCTCCACCTCACTCCCAGACAGAGCAGCCGGTGGCTCCGTGGACCCCTGCGTTGTTCCAGCAAGGCAGAGCTCCCTGCAGTCCCCTCCAACATGGGCTGAACACCCCTATGGAAAAAGGACCGTGTGCTGTACCTGATGCCAACAACCTCCACAGCCTGCTCCTTCGCTGTCTCTAGCAGGTGCTGGCAGGACTTGAGCGTGGCCCCAAACGTCATGCTCGGATGGGCAGAGGGGCTGGAGTCAGCAGCGATGCCCAATAACATCCTGCAGAGCAAAGCCACACCGTGTTGAGGGGTCTTCAGGCCCTCTGTCACCCCACAGTCACCTCCCCAGCTCTTACTCCAGCCTCACCACTGCAACGATGCTGCCAGACACCTACCTGGCACGAGGGTGGCTCCTGGCCACCTTGCTCAGCTCCACCTCATTGTCAAAGGTCATCAGCTGCACACCATGGCTGGCCGCATATTTGATGTGGGCAACCTGCTTGCAGGGGCTGCTGTAGAAGATCTTCTCAGCTGGGACTCCAATGCTTTGAACCCGTGCAATCTCTGCCTGCAGGGAAACGGCACGCGTGTCAGCAGGTCCCCAGGACTGGCACTGCCCATGCCTGGCCACGATCAGCCCTGGGCCTCGTCCAGCTTGCAGCACTGTGAAGGGCAAACCGCCAGCATTGCAGCCTGGGCTTTTCCAGGAAAAATCCGCAAGAGCTCAAAGGGATCAGAGTGGACTTTGTCCTGGCAGGGTCAGTGTGGCAAGATGTTTACAAGTGGCATGAGACCAGGAGGAGAGGAAAAAAGTGGGTTTAGCAGGTGTGGTGCATGTGTTCCTTGTGAGCTGCAGCAAGGGTTACAGCTGCAGCGCTGGTCTGAGCTGTCACGACTTTGCACTTTCTCCTCCTGGTAACACGTCCTATTTAATTATGTACAAGTAAGTGGCTTAACTTTGGATCCTCCCTGGGAACGTGGCTGTGAGCAAATGAGAAGCAGGAAGGAGCAAGGAGCTTTAGGCTCAGCCTGAAAGCCACCAAGAGTTGGACGGCTGTGGCAGCAGTACCCCAGGGATGTGCCTTGCCACCAGCCAAGCCTGCCAGCCAGGACACGGGTTCCAGAGACAGGAGTGTCGGTCAAAGGGAACAAGCCTGTGTTACCAGACAGAGAGGACAGGGATTTCTGGGCTGTGTCGGGAGGTTTTTGACAGCAGAGGGAGACTCCTGCCCCTGTAAATGTCATCCAGTGAGTGGAAACTTGGGAAAGGAGGGTGGGTTCTGCCACAAATGCCCAAATGATGCCCATCCCAAGCTGTCCTCCCACGACCCTACCTTGTTGGTACAGGCAAAGCCTGTCCCCAGCTCAGCCAGCAGCCGTATCACTCCTTCACTGCCGTTGCACTTAACCGGGAAGTAGGGTTTCACACGGGGCAAGGCCTTCAGGAAATGCAGGTGTTTCTTCACAACGTCCCCAAGGTCTGCCACGAAGAAGGCTTGCTGGTCGCTCTAGGAGAAAGCCAAAATGAGCAACAGTTACCTCCTCACCACCGCCTCTGCCAAGGGGGTGTTGGTTGCTGGGAGCAGCAGAGCTGCCAGCCCTTACCACCTGGCACAGCTCCACCAGCAGGTTCTCCAGGAGGTCTCTGGTGGTGAAGCCCTCTTCCACCATCATGAAGTTGGATTCATTCAAGTACTGATTCATGGTAAAGCTTCCTCAAGTAGGGTATAGCTTCTAAGGATGCAACACACTGGAAAAAGAAAGGGAATATTAGAGGCAGGGCCCAGAAGCTTCACCAGTGTCCAACACCCAGCCTGCACCCTGAGGTGCTCCCCGTCCCCCCCACAGGCAGTTCATGGCAGTCCTGAGCTCTCTGCTCTCTCCTCCAAACCAGCGCCTCAGCTGAGAGCCTTACTGTGGTTTAAAGCATCTTCTCCAGGGGGAGGAGACTCATTTCTCTGCAGCTCAGAGCTTTGTTTTGGCACACAGCAGCCCTGTCTTCTTCAGCAGCAGTTCAGGCACCAACACAGTTAACAACAAAGCCAACTTCACTGCAGAGCGGATGGCCTATATAAGCCAGAACGCGTCCCTTCATGCTCTGGCACGTAGCTAGATCTGCTGTACATTGCATGGGGTGAAGTTCCCCTGTGGTTTCCAAATAGCTGAAGTCTCACGGACCCACCTTCCCAGGCACACAAGCCCCGTGAAAAGGGAGGCATCTTTAAAGAGAACAGCACAAGCCACTCACTGATACTGGCTGACCTGGGGTTAGTCTGGATCCGTGCTGTGGTTCCAGTTTCACATCTCTTCCGTGACAGAGGGTGTGGAACAAGGGGACAAGTTAAGCTGAGCGGTGTTTCCTAGCTTGCACACTTAGCAGAGCTTTAGCTTTAAGCTTGCACGCTTAGCTTTAACAATCTCCTCCCCTGGTTCCAGCCCATCCCATAGGAGCTGAAAGCCTAGCACAAGCTCGCGGGAAACATTTCCACTCCAATAATCCAGGTCTAGCTCCAGGGCTCTTACAGGAACATGGTCCCTCTGATCTGAAGTGAACGGGAGACGGAGGTTTCATTTCTCAGAGCTGCACGCCACCTCCTCCTCTGCAGAGACCTACTTACGACATTTCGGATGGGGACGTCCCCAAGGTCTGCCACGAAGAAGGCTTGCTGGTCGCTCTAGGAGAAAGCCAAAATGAGCAACAGTTACCTCCTCACCACCGCCTCTGCCAAGGGGGTGTTGGTTGCTGGGAGCAGCAGAGCTGCCAGCCCTTACCACCTGGCACAGCTCCACCAGCAGGTTCTCCAGGAGGTCTCTGGTGGTGAAGCCCTCTTCCACCATCATGAAGTTGGATTCATTCAAGTACTGATTCATGGTAAAGCTTCCTCAAGTAGGGTATAGCTTCTAAGGATGCAACACACTGGAAAAAGAAAGGGAATATTAGAGGCAGGGCCCAGAAGCTCCACCAGTGTCCAACACCCAGCCTGCACCCTGAGGTGCTCCCCGTCCCCCCCACAGGCAGTTCATGGCAGTCCTGAGCTCTCTGCTCTCTCCTCCAAACCAGCGCCTCAGCTGAGAGCCTTACTGTGGTTTAAAGCATCTTCTCCAGGGGGAGGAGACTCATTTCTCTGCAGCTCAGAGCTTTGTTTTGGCACACAGCAGCCCTGTCTTCTTCAGCAGCAGTTCAGGCACCAACACAGTTAACAACAAAGCCAACTTCACTGCAGAGCGGATGGCCTATATAAGCCAGAACGCGTCCCTTCATGCTCTGGCACGTAGCTAGATCTGCTGTACATTGCATGGGGTGAAGTTCCCCTGTGGTTTCCAAATAGCTGAAGTCTCACGGACCCACCTTCCCAGGCACACAAGCCCCGTGAAAAGGGAGGCATCTTTAAAGAGAACAGCACAAGCCACTCACTGATACTGGCTGACCTGGGGTTAGTCTGGATCCGTGCTGTGGTTCCAGTTTCACATCTCTTCCGTGACAGAGGGTGTGGAACAAGGGGACAAGTTAAGCTGAGCGGTGTTTCCTAGCTTGCACACTTAGCAGAGCTTTAGCTTTAAGCTTGCACGCTTAGCTTTAACAATCTCCTCCCCTGGTTCCAGCCCATCCCATAGGAGCTGAAAGCCTAGCACAAGCTCGCGGGAAACATTTCCACTCCAATAATCCAGGTCTAGCTCCAGGGCTCTTACAGGAACATGGTCCCTCTGATCTGAAGTGAACGGGAGACGGAGGTTTCATTTCTCAGAGCTGCACGCCACCTCCTCCTCTGCAGAGACCTACTTACGACATTTCAGATGGGCACTAGGAGAAAGACCACACTGACCCCGGAGAGGCAGTGTGTTGCATTGAGCAAGCACCACCAGAAAACTCCAGAGATGGGGAATGGGGAGAAAAAATGGGTTCTGAAGCTCTTAAAGCTTCATACTCAAGAAAGGAGAGCAACTCCTCCAGACTTACCCTTCACTCCCCAAAGACATCACTAACCAGCACCCAGCCCACCCTGGTCGGGCACAGAAATGATGAGCAATTAAGTGGGTCATTCCTGCCAGCCCTGGGCAAATGTGCCCCAGCCTCAGACATCCCCTCCTTACCAGGGTCCAACGCCTCCCTCCTGTGTGA